AATGCTCTTCTTTAAAATGGTGGGTCAGGTGTATGCTCAGTACAACATTGGGAAAACTGGTTTGCTTTGTTTTTCCACTTTAGCTTGACTTGGAACTTGTAGCTGATGTTTCCCAGCACCCCTAGGCATATCTTTGTGTTACAATTGGATTCTTCCATCTCTTTGTCCCAATATTATAGTCAATTTTATTTCTGTGTACTCCATTCTGGTGATTGTCCATGTACATAGGTACAGGTTTGATTGCTTAAAGAGCATTAACAATGAAGAAATCATTAGGTTGGCAAAAATGTACAAATTCCAACTTCGGCACTCTGGAATCAAGTACTCTTAGCATTTACACATACATTCCTTACAAATTCAATTCTTTATAAGGATCAGTGAAGAGATTTTTTTCCTCTTCCTCCACAATGTTCACAAGATTGGGAGGAACAAGAATTCTTATTGTTCCCCTAATCTTTATCCTGGCTAGCTCTTTTTTTTTCCCACTGCCATATGAAAAAAGATTCCTAGGAGAAAGAGAAATAGTTACAAGACTTCATCTTTCCTTCCAGTAACCAATGCTTTTAGCTAGAAGCTCTCAAGAAACTTAAGCAGCATAATATTGTTCCATGAAAGCCAATCGCATATTGGTGGGCTACACAGGACTGCATAGATGGCTCTGGATTTCACCTCATATCATAATGTGAGGATTGGTAAAACTATAAAACAAGGGTATCGTAAGTCCTATAGGGTAGACCAAACTGAGAAACCAATGCTCTATAATAAAAAACCACTTTTATTATAGTAATTTAGGACAACTCTAGTGACCAAATCTTGCAAATCTGAACAGGCTTCCCTTAATTTGTCTCTTTATGAATTAGTCAGGGGGTCTGTCTGAGGTGTTTTCTCAAATCAGTTTCTTAGAATGGGCTTAAGCTGCACTTGTCTGATCATTGACTTGGTAAAAGATCTTTCCATTGTCCAACAGGGCCATCCTCTAACAATATTCAGCCTAGATCTTATCCATGCATCTTTAACTATAAATATAATACAGTTCAGCTCTAGCATTTCTAATTTTCCAAGAACTATTATTATTAGAGATCAATCTGCAATACATTTCCCATTTATTGATACAAATAAGGATAATTTATTTATTTTTTAGTCCTAAAGGTTTTTCCTCTGTTATTGGATGTAATTATCTCAAGATAATTCAATGCACATAATTTCAGGGAGGAAAATAACCATTTGTCATTTAACCATTCTACTTGGATGAACAATAGAACAAAATGAATAATTGCTTACTGATCAATATTAATTGCACTTGTAATCACTTCTTGAATCACACTTGAAAAAAATGAGTTAAATAACTTTATTATTGTAAAAAGAAATGGCAGCCCAAAGAGGAGTAAGGGAATTTGGGGGATTGGATAGAAATCTCTGCTGTCCTCTTAAAACACAGTAAAGATCCATTAATAAGTAAAGCACAGCACCTCCCTCTCTAGAGAATCAGTTCATAATCCATAGTAAGAGACCTAGATAGGACCAAGCAGCTGGAAATGACCACGGGAGTATCAGGAAAGACAGGATTCCTCATTTTCAGGAGTACATGTCGAGTGTAGCAAGGAGTGGTAGGATCTTCTGAAGCCATAGCCTGGTGCTAGATACCAAGGATCTGCTACAAAGAAGTTGTAGTCAAGTGCTAGGAACAATATTGACCATCAACAAGAACCTGCTCTGAGAATCCAAAGTGGACTCAGCCTCTCTAGCACATTATTCTGATTTCAACTAGATGACCTGGATGTCCCCATACCCTAAACAGCTTGGCGATGCTTGCTCTCTTGGGATTCTGTGGCAGGCGATGGGCACCTTCCTTCCTGTCCTTCTGCTTTGGGTCATCCTTCGTCAATGTTCTTCCTGTACCTACTCAAATACATAAACTGAGCTCTTTGCGCACTGTGCATTTCCGGCACTGAACTACACAGCACCAATGAAAGCGGCAGAGGCAGTTTTCTTCCAGGAGCAGCGTCTCCTCACGGTGACCCCGTCCACAGCACAGCAGGTCACAGCCGCTCATGTCCATGGCAGTGCTATTGCACACTCGTCCACGTGTGCCCAACGAACCCGTCTTGCGGTTAGCAATGCAGAAGTCAGGCGAGTCGGCAGAATAGATGAGGTCCTGCCGGTCAGGGGGCTTCATGTTCTGACCCACGGGGATGAGTGTTTTGCCATCGTTGCCACCCATCACTTTAAAAGCCCCATTAAAACGTTCAAGCAGGCGGTCACCCACTTCCCGGAAAGGAGGCATCTTCTTCCAACAGGTGCGTAAGGCACAGGAACCTGAAAGGCCATGACACTTGCACTCTGTCCGCATGTGGTTCTTCACTGCCTGGAAAAGGGGAGGGGGGTGGACACAGCCACAGTAAGTAGGGAACAAAATGGCAATTGCAAGATTAGTAAGATCAGAGTGACGTCTCCTAGCTGATTATTTTAGATAAGAAGTGAGAACAGGCAAGGAGACGGAAAGTTTCTTCTAAGGTTACATGAGTGCATTCTTTTCCTTAAAAAGATATTGTATTTCTACCTGTTGACACCACAACAGCTTGTAAAATATGTGGCAGCTAACACTTTAAACATGGACATCCCCCAGACAACCTAGCTGGTCAACCTCATTACCCAAAGCAATTTTATATGGATCCTAGCAAACATTAATTGCACTTTTGAATTTCTTTTATGTTCAGTTTTATTTGCAAAAAAAGTATGTTAGATCAGTTGTTATTTCATATAAGAATGACCGTATTACTATTTAAGCTGTGTTGTATAGACACTGTTTCTTAATATCTTACAAGAAACACAATTATTTTCCTGACTTCTGAGCTGACAAGCTTCATATAGTTAAGCTTCATATAGCTAAGTATTGGAAGTATTAATTAATGATGCCAGTCAGTTTGGCTGTGAAAATCAGATTATTGTCCTCAGATTAATGTTTCAAGAATATAATGATGCCTGAAAATAATAAATTGGCACTTCCTGTATTACATTTTTTAAAAGAAAGAAAAATGAGAGTTAAGATATGTTATAGCATCATGCTTCTGAAATCTAGATAATAAAAAATTGTATTTTGGAAGAATCATTCATCATCATCTGATACAGACTAATTTTAGACTGAATACACTATCTAAACAGCTCTTAAATATGGGAGCAGATATTTTAACAGTCCAATATTCCTATCATCACATCAGAATCTGTTGTGATAAGGTTTTGCCAAAATCCATCTAGAGATCTTGTTCACAATGGGATTTGATCCAAGTTCTTTAAATCACACTTTCAAACTTTAGCTATTATGTTCCAGAAACTTCCTTTAATGCTTTATATTTGTTCCTGTACTTTCTCCTCCCTCTGCATGCACTTACTCAACTGCAATAATATCCATTTTTCAAACAGAAGTGATAGTTCTGTGGCAAGCAATAGAGTTTCCTTGTTCTGACAGGGAATATGTTTTCACTGGTGATCTAAGGCTGCTCTGCTCATTTGTAGAATGGAATTAAAAAATGAGACACACACATGCATAAAATTACTTCTCAAAATTATGTAGAGGATCAGAAACCCAGCAGTGTAAAGGAACATTAGGTTATGAGGTCTAGAACATATAAAATTGTCTACATACAAGACAAGATGGAAGAGAAAAGGACCTCAGAAAAGGATATGACCAAACAAATAAGTACATCTTGATTAATGACTATATGAAACCACTGGGAGAAGTAATCTTCCAAATCATAGTAAGAGATCATCCGTATGACACTCTATTTTCCGCCCTGAATTGAATGAAAAAATGCAGTGGAAATGCTTAAGGTCATCAGGACTTGATTGGGAAAAAGCAATGAATGCTCAGGCTTTCAACTCAAACATAATGGAGTGACTCTTACTTCAGAAGCTTACAGATTTTAATGTTACCCCAACTTTGTGGCACCTTTATTGGCACCTACCTAATTCAGACACCTGAAATAGGTTGCATAACAGGTCATAGTCATGGTACACTTCTGTATATGACAACTAGAAGGGAATCCACTAATCACTTTTGTCAACATATCGTACATGAAATGTGTAGATAGAGAAGGAGGCAGAGCAGTCCATCGGTAGAGGTTTTCCACAGAAAATAGGATGAAGAAGCAACACGGCCCTTACCAGTCTCCCTGCTTCGTTGTTGTGCAGGTCAATAAGAGTCCGAATGTCACTTTTGCCACGCTTGCGCTTAGCATCCATGAACTGCCGGGATTTCTCATAGCCAAAGTCAACATCATCCCCACAGCCACCCCATTCCCAAGCAGAGCTCTCCGATCCCGTGATGGCGGGTGGCAGAGGAGGGGCCCTGCTCCGAGTGGCCTCGCAGCCACACTGCAGCAGATCGCCCATGCTGCAGGCCTGGGTGACCGCATGGCTAACACCAGCTGCCGTGATGGCATAAACAAAGGCTGTCTCCCGGATATCTGTTTTGTAAGTTGAGAGAGGGAAAGAGAGAGATGGAAAACACATTAGGCAGAGTCGTCTTTCAAAATAACCTTAATGTCCAAGCAAAGCAAAGAGGTACTGGCAGGCCATGTCATCATAGGCAACAACAATTCAGCCACTGAAGCAGAGGTGGTATTCAGCCAGTTCTGATGAGTTCTGGAGAACCAGTAGCGGAAATTTTGAGTAATTTGGAGAACCGGCAAATACCACCTCTGACTGGCCCTGCCCCCATCTATTCTTTGCCTTCCGAGTCCCAGCTGATCGGCTGGGTCTTCTATTGTTGCCCTGCACAGGAGAACAGAGCTGGAAAGCAGGTTAGTGGGGTGGGGAGGGAATGGAGATTTTGCAGTATCCTTCCCCTACCATGCCCACCAAGCTACACCCACCAAGCCACACCCATAGAACTGGTAATAAACATTTTTGAATCCCACCACTGCACTGAAGGCTTCTCATACAGTATTACCTGTAGTTGCTTTTTCTTGGCTGTTACTTATAGAAAACCTACTTATTTAAGGACAGTTTTTGGCAAACACAACAAGGCATAGTATAGCTCTAGTTCAAAAATGTACGTTGGCATTTACTCATCCTCAGCCATAATTAGACTTGGAGACTTTATTGTCACTTTGAATGTACACTATCGTCTTACATTAAAATGAAATTTTGTTGCATACAGCCCTCAGAGGATCACCACCTCCAATATAGACTACATAAACAATGATGATTTTCCTTCATTCTTTGTAAAATAATACATTTTCCCACTCAAAATGCAACATAGATATGGTATGTACATTTTATCGTATTTCCTGCCCTGTTTGGAATGGTGTGGTCATGTGATCAGACCAGTAGGAAGTGCCTGTATCCTGGGGAGACTGGGCAATAAATATCATCGGCTCTTCTTTAGCCAAATGGTATTCTTAGGGCAGGGTCTCCAAACATGGCAACTTTAAGACTTGTGGACTTCAACTCCCAAGATTCCGCAGTCAGCATGGGAAAATCCATAAAGCTGCCAAGTTTGGGGAGCCCTGCCTTAGAAAGGAAAGGCCCATAGAACAATTCCCAACCATTGATTTAAAGTATTAGTCAATGCTATTGATGTGGACAGGAAGCAATGCTGTCGTAAAACTTGCTATTGACATTACCAAGTCCTATCTCCATGGCATCTGTTACATTGGCTGCTGGTTGGTGTCACCTCTGGCTCTCAGCGAGCCCCTTTCACCAGCCAATAAGAAAACCAATCAACAAGCCTACATTGCTTGGTGAACCTGCCAATTTAGACAACATTTGGCAGCCAGTGGTGATAACAAGCAATGCAGAAGCAAGATAGGAGTTAGTGATACAACCAGTCAATCTTACAACAGACATTCTTCTGGGTCCACACAAGAAAGGATGGATGGTACTTTAGCTCAATTGTGGGGAACTGGCCAATGTGACAAGGGAAAAAATGGGCTAGAAATAAGGTGAAACCAACACTGCATAACCAAGGAGGAAAACTGAGGTTGTCAGGGCATGATTTTAGTCGTTCTGGGTATGCATCTACCAACCAAAAAGATCCACCATTCAACACTAAATTCCAATCATCAGGAAGCTGGAATGCACAGTAATCTCACCTACCCTTGTTTGTTAATAAGGCCCCCTGAAATCAGTAAAACGGACTTTTTTCCCCAAATAAATACATATCGGACTTCACTCTACAAAGATAGTTATGGAAAAAGGAAGAGATAATGGGACCGGCGAATGAATTAACCCCGCTCTTTGTGGAGATCCTAGTTTTAAACCAACTGTCAATCCCGCTTGGTGCTGCTACTCAAAAGGCAACACGTTGTAAGGCAGGGAATCTTCCCACCAAAAAGGACCCCATGCTGCTGCATGAAAAGCGCAGAACAGCCTGTAACAAACAGCCTGTTGCCAGTTCAACAAATCGCTTTCGTTAGCAACACAGTAACAACGAGGGGTGGGATTCCAAGATGCAATAGCCCCCTTCCCATCTCAACAAGCTGGATTTTTTTTTATTTATGACGGGGGCGCCAGTCGCCCCTTCGCCGCGGGACACGAGTTCCAAGCATCCCTCGCCATGCTGGGACCTGCCATAGCCACAGTGGGGCGCGGGGGGTGGGGATTTCTCTTTTGCTCTGCTCTATTCCAGCATGAGGCGCCGCATCGCCGAGGGCTCCGTCTCCTTTCCCCACCACCCCCACCGCCGCTTCACCACCTCTCTGCCCCAGTAAGGGGCTGCTTGCACCAGGGGCTGCAACGCTGGGAGGCGGTTTCAAGTAACCGAGTATTTTTCCCTGTGCGGCGGTGCAGCGGCATCGCTTTCGTCTAGAGTTTCTAGTCCACATCTCTGCGGCGGTCCAATGGGCCCCCGTCCCTTCCGTCCCGCCAAGAACGGGCGCCATTTTCTCCCTGAGTATATCTTCCACTGGCTTGCTCGTCCGTGGGTTCAAGCACCTGTCCTGAGCGCCTGGAAACGCCCCTACCCAGGGCTGCTGTGGCTTTCTGGCTCTCATGCCTGCCTGGTCCTGGGCTCGGCCCCGCGGTTATTAGTGAACTGACGAACGAAAAGTGAGCATTTGCCACTCTTCCTGCACCTGTTGCAGGGAAGTATTCTACTCTGCCCTGTTCTGGTTGCTGTTAACTTTATCCCATTAGGGAACACAACACACACCCTTCAGTTCAACGTTGCCTTTGGGTAGACGTTCCCTGTCGTGCTCTGACTTCCTCCCGGTTAGACTCTTTGGTTTTACGCGTGGAAAAATGCCTCGGATCGAGGAGCGATCGCCGGCAGGAGGACAAAGAAAGGTGAGGCTTTCTTTGCCCTTAGAGCAAACGTCTCCAAACTTGGCAACTTTAAGACTTATTTTATTTTTTTAATATTTATTTATTTTGCCAAGCACGTATTTGATAATATGTATAACTATAAACATGATTATTAATTCATGAAATAGATACGAATAAAAAGGAAAATTAAGACAGGGTTGGCACACTTATGCACCACCCCTTACAGACCTCTTACAAATGGGGTGAGATCAACAGTAGACAGTCTGAAGTTAAGGTGTTTGGGGTTAGAGGAAGAAACCACAGAGTCAGGTAGAGTATTCCAGGCATTGACCACTCTATTGCTGAAGTTGTATTTCCTGCAATTTGAGTTTTGTGCTGTTTACCCTGAGTTTGTATCTACTGTGTGCTGTTGAGGTTGAAGCTGAAGTAGTCACTGAGGTAGGACTATGCTGGCTAAAGAATTCTGGGAGTTGAAGTCCACAAGTCTTAAAGCTGCCAAGTTTGGGACCCCTGCCTTAGAGTGAGGGGAAGGCAGTTATTCACTGTGAAGGTGCCAGAGAGGCTCCCTGGCCATATTTATGGCCCATTTCTGCTTTCTCAGTTGCTGGGAAGTCTGAGGAAGCTCTACGGACATGTAGGAGCAGAGTCTTTGAGAAGGAGGAAGGGGCAGTAAATCTCTCCCAGACATGGATGCATTCTTGGGCTTTGTGCTGTCTGGGAGCATCCATAATTGCTTCATTACAAGGACAGGGAGACATGTCACAGAAGTAAACCTTCGGCCTATAGTAATAATCTGAGGCCTCCCGCCCCAAAGCCCAGGTGATGCGTGTACCTCTCACGCTCTCACACTGCAAAAGAACAAAGCACAACCCCTTAGGAGCAACGTGTATCTGTCGTCTCCACTCAGAGAAAAGATGGTTCTTGGTCTTCTCCTAGCAGCAAAGGTTTGTCCTGTGCTAAATTCCTCCTCCTCCTCACGATCAAGGGACTCCGTGGCTTGATCAGATACTCAGATCCACCGTCCCAGCAGCATTGTTTCATTTGCTTCTATCTTTTCCTCCATAGATTTCAAGGTGCCATTCACGGATCTCTACTTTCACACACACACATAAACCTCATCTTCTCCAGTTCCCTTGGAGGTAAATAAGAGAAGGAGGCTAGTCCAAGAGCACCCTCATAATTTCATGTGTGAATAGAGACTGAACCCAAGGAGTTCTAATCTAACTCTAATCAAGAATAACAATCCAGTGTCCTTCGGGTTTTCATACAACTTTCATATATCCTAGTAACCTGACTAAGAATTCAAGGTTATGAAAACTGTTCTGAACTTGTCAAAGGCACTCCTGATTTCCACCAAATGGGCTGTGCTAAGATGATTTGAGCTGGACAACACATTTTTTTTTTTTCAGGAAGCAAAAGGCAATGCAGAATCCAATTCTATTTTTAAAACAATACAATGGTAACTGAATTTCAGAAGTCTTTATCAAATAATTGTATAACATTCACTTTGTATCTTCATATTAATAAAATGTAGTTGTACAGGCAAATGCTTGCTTGCTTGGTTTTTGCATGCTTTATACATACACTTTGCAACAGGCATCATCTTAAAAGAGCCATTCCTTCCCTTTATATGAGCAAAGGGACACAATAACTGCAGGGTGTTTTAAATTTAAAAAAGTCTGGAAAAAAACCTTGTAATTAATTAAATGTTGTCAATTAATCATATTGGGCAAGGCTTAAATAATTGTTTTCAGATTAGGGAAACAATACTTCTAATACTCTAATTGAATACACTAAAACTGGTGAAAGTAATCATGTGATATTATGTTCTGGGTATATCTTATATGGATGCATATCAGATCTAGAAGTGTTATCCTACATTGCTTATCAGTAATGTCTCTGTCTCTTTGACCCTTAGCTATGTTTTGCTTGGTTGCTTCTATTTTTATAGGTCTCAAGTGCCCCACCAGATTTTTCTGACTATCCAATTGATCAGCCTGCACCTAAATAAGGGGGACAGATTACTACTTCTCCTCAATTAATAATAGAAAAGAGGAAGAAGATAAAGCTTCACCCATACTAGTGACCATGCACAAGGTTAGTGGCTTCTGTAATCTGGAAAAGGAGCACTGGCAACAGAAGAAAAACTAAAATGTCTGCCCTTCCTACCAGTGTAGCGTAGTGTGTGTGTTGGAAGGGGCACACAAGTATCAAAATGTTATAATTTTAACATACCAAACAGCCTTCAGACTGCCCAAGTCTACTTCTCAACTAGGAGTAATGCTTTCTAGATTTATTTAAATGCTTTCTGGGTTCACATTTAAACTAGACCTACATTTGTAGGCCTCAGTTTATGTCTTCTCTTTGAAGCCTGTAGACACAGTCCCTCAGTGTTTTAACTGAATAATTTAAATAATATAAGAAAAATTGCTTGATATTCTGGATGTAGATCAATATGGAGGCCTAAGTGTTTTGTATTTCCACTGATCCTGAAATCCAATACTTAAGATAAAATGAGTTTATAGATAGGTCAGTTAGAATTGCTACATTGCCTCTTTGTTTATTAGTGGTACTTGGAGAGGAGACCAAAAGGGAATTTCAGTGCTGTAGGGTAAATTGGGGAACAGGGAAAAACAAATAACTTGGAAGACGAAAACTAGATGTTCTACTATAAACACAAAGAGAGATTTTTCACCTTTACCTTTATGTGTCTTAATTAAATGAGCACTTGTAAGAAGTTCATTGGCTTCATTTCAGAGAAATATTTTTTATCATCTGGGGCTTTGGTAGGATGTGAGATGATATTATGGTCTTAACATTCAAATGGATTTTTTTCTATGTGCCAAAACCAGGCACAATTTCACATAAACACGAAGAAGCTTTATGCCTAATTAAGACCCTTGATGCAAGTGAAAAAATATAAAAGAACAGAAGTTTTAAGCAATGGATGGGGTACCATTGGGCATAGCTGAAATTGTATTTATATGGCATGGACTGGAGATACAAGGAACAGGTGAATCTGCAAGTGAAGGCCCAGCAGGACCCAAAGGGAGATCTGCTAAGCAAACTGGCAGGGGGATATTATTGCAGCTTCTGTGGGGGGTGCATTTTACAAATTAGACATCAGTGAGGCTAGTTTGACAAAGGTGCTCAGGAAAGAATTTTTTTTTTCCTACTTCTGTTCACTACCCTGAGCTAAAACAACTGAAAACAGCTGTGTGAGTCAAGGAGAGAAATAGATAAAACACTTCTTTTTAAAGAGGCTCCTTTTGGAAGTGTGAATGCAGTTTGTTAAGCTAAGGCCTCTGTACTGGAAATAGTACACAAAATAATAAACATCACTATAATTTAGAGACAAACAGTGCATGTTATGACTGGAGAGTTCCTGTTTCCCACCCGCCAATAGAAGCACTAAATCAATCCCAAATCCTAGAACTATCTGAATAGCCCAGCTCAAAGTATGCAGCAACGATTCAGTAAACAGGTGTGTTCATCCCATCTACTGCCCAATTTAATTTCAAAGCAAACAGAGAAGAGTTGCAAATGTATTCTGTCACACACACACACACACAGCCGAATCCTCTCCATATAAGAGCTTCTATCCCACTGGCAATTTTGGTCACCTCTAAAATATAGGCTGTCCTCTCTTTTCTTCTCTCTTTAATTGTGAGGAGTATTTGGCTGAAAAAATTCTTCTATGGACAAAATAAATGCTTTCTACCCCCCACCCCCTCTATTCTGGAAGAATCCCAAAGAACAGTGGTCTACTTAAGCAACAAAGCCTACCCCACTCACCCTGCTGTAGGATCTTCCCAAAATATTTGCTATGGCTGGTGCAGTTCCAGCGACGAAAACGGAATTGGTACTGGCATTCACGGACACCCAGTCTGGCTCCTTTGGCGACTTCTTGTACAATCTCAGGTTCCGTCTGGCAGAGCTCAGCCTGTTTTCCTGCCAAGCGCTTGGTCTTCCGACAGATGCTGTTGGGATCCATGACCAACGGGCTGCCCACTGCCCTGGAAAGATTAGAGGAAAGACAAGGAAACACTCTAGCTGCATCAAAATTTATAGGTTTAAACCTGTTTAATCCACAGTTCTTTAGGGGTCTTTTATAAATTAATTATGAAATTAATCACTGAACATATGCCAGGATGTTCCCAAAGTGGTAACATTCTGTGCTGTGTGTCCCAGGACTTTCCAGTTTAACATTCTCTCTGACCAGAGCCAGTTCTGTGAATTTTGGCACCCTAGGCAAAGCTGTATTCTGCCTTCTTCCATTGCCTCCTCTTCCAATTTTTTTAAGGATTTCAAAAACGCACTCTGTGGGTTTTTTTTCTTTGAGATTTTGAGCATGATATTTACAATTTTTAGGCCTTGACATATTTTTTCTTTTCTCAGAATTTTCACCTTATTTACAATGCAATAGTGTGTGTGTATACACACACACACAAAATTAACCTGTGGACTATCTTTTCCCAAGAGTTTCTACCCGTCCAATCTCAACTCAAAGCCCAGCCTTGCATATCATGCTCCTTAAAGCAATGACAACACCTTAGGTGCACCTGCTCGTAGGCAAAACCAGAAGGTTCAGATGGGCATATTTTCTACTAAGCCAACCAAATAGTATATAATATGTTATCAATTGCCCAATGCAGTATATATACTATCTATTACTGTTGCTGCAGCTGTTGCTACTGTATAATATAAGAGAGCATTAAAAAATGATCTGACCACTTGCTATCTGAAGAATATAATCCAATTTCATTCATTTCACTATTATTTTCTATGTAGACTGATAATAGGGCATAAGCCCTTCCTTAAATTCAATATATTCTAGGATTATTATCATTCTATTGTATGACCAGAGCAGGAAAACAAGGAAACCACAAGTTACGTTTTGAAAGAATGCCTAACCTTGAAAAAACGATAAAGGTTTATAAACAACCTCTAATGTTGTGCCAGCTTTTCTCCCTAACTTCTAGATTACTCTCAGTACAGGAGTTTCCCTTAACTATTTTCTTTCAAAAATCTCACAAAAAAAAACAGTTGAAGGTTCTAGCATCTGTAAAACATAAAGATCCAGAGTAGGAATTATAAAGCTATTTTATACTATACAATGTACAAACTTCCCTGCTCATGCCAGAGAACACAGGATTGCATGCAAAATCCAGAGAAGCTCAATTCTTAAAAATAAAAAAAAGAATCCACCTCCCTCCCTCCTTTGCAATCACAGGAGGAAAAAAACCTTGAAAACATGCCAGATGTATCTGTTAAATTTCAAATGCAAGAATCTTTTTTAACTAACGCTTCCTATGCTCAGCGAGAGAAGGACACTAATACAGTCTGCATATTTTCTTATCCATTGCAAGATTTTCATCCACTTAAATTCTGCTTCCATTGTATTTCTTGCCCATCAGGGACCCCAGAAACTGTCATTTTATCATTCCAACAGCTATCAATACCCTTCATTTTTTTTTGTAAACTGATATATTTTAATCATGATTGGATTCATTATCCAAAGCCATGAAAATTTGTTAATATTTTGGTGTGGAATGTTGTGTGAACTGAGCCAATCTCTTTTATAAATAATTTTTTCAAGACCTAGCATGTTGTGCAAATCCAGTCAATTATAGTTGATTCAATAAACCATTCTTAGGCTGGCTGTTGCTATCTGCAATGAGAGAACACAAACAGGGGTATGGATTGTGAAGTGATGTAATCAATATCTAAGCATAAAAACATTTTCAAGAGAGACCAACTATTTGTGTCTATTCTCTGATGAAATAATGTGATATTCAGTACTATGGGTCAATATATTTTTTACAGCGGACAGTCTAGTTTTCCAAAAGGCCCTCACAAGATGACAGCTTTTAAAATGCCAAAGGTCACCTATTGTTCACTAAAGGCTGGAGTAAAGAAGTCATGATCAGTTTAGATGTTCTCACTTTGATTCCCACTACACTGAGTGATAGGATACGGAATAGCTCTTACTGCTTGATTATGAACCTTACGGTCTAGGAATCCATGACACCTGAGGAAGTTTTGAAAAAAAATCCAAACTAATCAAATGGATCACTAGAGAACCAGAACCAGGAAATTCTAGCAACTCAAAAGATTAAGTCTCTCAATGCAGTAACACAGGGAGGGAACGCAGAGTTTTGAATCCATGTGGATTCATGTCTGCACCTGTGTGCTTCTATCTGCCCAAACAAATATTTTCTACCTAGGCTATCTGTGGGTCATCTTTTATGATCTAGGTATGAACTCCTTCTTGTCTGCTTCCGCTTGGCAGTGGGTGTATTTTAAGGCAATCCTTCATGAGTAGATTGTGGCACAAAACATGTCACACTTAAGACTATAAGACTCCTCTTGACCAGATCAAAGCTCCCGCTTATCTAATTTCCTGTTTCTTACCAGCGGGGCATGGCAGCAGAAGATACTCATAGGCATAGTGAGGGTTGTAAAAGGGCATACAACTAAAACCAAACAAAGTAGGACTACGCTAATCGGTTCTATGTCACTTCAAACTTACTAGACATGTCTCGCTTCAAGTTTTATATGGTTGCTATTGATTATTGAATATATTCTATTTTCTATTCAAAAATTTTAGATGGTTAAATATAAGGGTTCTGGTGACTTAAAACTGAAAGATAAATATTTCTTCCTAAAAATATAGAATATATTAGAAAATACATAGAAAAATGTAGGCTATTGGTATAAGGTTGTTTTTGTTTTTGCTGAAAAACTGCAAGAAAGGACCTGCAGTTCAGTAATAGCACACCAGGTTTGCATGCAGATGGTCAGTCAAGATTGCATACATTTGCGGCCTTGTGAGGCTTTACTTAAAGGATGGTGAATTTTTTTTTTTAAATCTGTCAGAAAAAATTGCTGTCAGAAATCTCAGAAAGGCACTAAATAAACCAGTGATTTAATTTGCAACTACATTATTTCCTATATACAGACTGAAAAAGGATTACATTTGGGATGTGTGAATATGCAGACAGCTATAGCATCTTCTCATATTTCTGTTGCAGCAACATTGTATTTAGGCACTTGTTTAGTAGCTCTTCTTGCATGTCATGAAACCCTGAATGCAAAGGGATGAGGCATGGAAGCGCAAAAGGATCAAAGATAACCATGGGAAAATAGACAGTGATCTTATTAGCATAAAGATATTAGATATCCTAATACAGTCTTCTTCAACCTGATTCCCTTAAAGACCTTTGGGGATGAAATAGTTAAGAATTCTCAATAATTCTCTCGGCATGACTGTCCCAGTGCATCTAAATAGGATCAACTTGGAGAAACCGATTGAAGCTCTTGTAAGTTCAGCAGCAATATTCAGCATTAAGTTAATATTAACTTAACAATGTTAATGTTAAATATTAGGCTAATATTAGAGCCGGGGTGGTACAGTGGTTAATATGCAGTATTGCAGGCTAATTCTCCTGATTGCCATCAGTTCAATTCTTACTGGCTCAAGGTCAGGGGTGGGTTAGGGTTAGGGTTAGGGTGTGTGCTTTAGATTATAAATGGAATATAAATAGTACATAGCAACAGAGAAAAGTGGCCAAGTGGCATTAGGAAGATAAAAATATGGTGCTCAAATTGCAAGAAGAATGCTGTTGTGTAGTTCATCTGTGGACATGGAGGTGCTCTGCAGTCCCACTCTAGGGTGTTCCTTTGTGATGCCAGTCTTGGTTTTTCTATCGGTATTTGGTGATACCTGTCTTCCAAGCCAATGAAGGCTTCATAGCACAGGGCTGACCAGCAGGTTCTGTCAGCAGCTGCAGCTTCTAGTTCCCTTAGCTAGAAGTCAGTTTCATTCACAGCATCTTTGTAGCATTTTGCATGATGGAGCTTGAGATTTCTTTCCAGACTCCAGCAATGAGCAAAGCATACATATAGCTGCCCGGAGTAGCTCCACAGTGAGATGGGTGTCAAATAAATTGAACAAATAAAGAATGCAGTGATCATCCATCCTGATGACATATCCCACCCATCTTTTCTGGGCCCTGATGATCAGGTACTCTGTGGCGGTGGACTCTGCATGATCCTCCAGGTTTGAGACAGTCTTGCCAACAAATGCTAAGGAGGGAGCAGAGTGTATGCATGTAAAATTTCTCCAGTTGTTTGACTTGCCTTCAGTACAAAGTCCAGGACTCACATCCATATTGGAGAGAAGTGGAAAGCACAGCCCTGTAGACTTTCGGGCTTGTGGAGGTATGGCTGTTATATTGACTAAGCACTCTAATACACAGCCGCCCCAGTGCCTGGCTGGGCTTGCTAATCCTTGAATCAATTTTTTTGTCCCAAAACCCAACACTCAAGATGATGCTTCCCAAGTATTGGAAGCTGTTTATATTTGTCAGATGGGGTCCATCACTAGTGATTTTTGGTCCTGTAGGCTTGATATTTGGCCCAGGCTGGTAAAGTGCTTCAATCTAAAGTAAGCACCATGGAGAGAGGCATCTGCCCTGTTCAGGGCATTAAACCTTCATTTTTCCAGCAATTTTATCCAATCTTCTTTTACCACCCTCTCCCAAACTTCATTACAGCTTTGTTGGCTATGGCTGATAGAGAATATAGCCCAAACATCTGAAGGACACTGGATTGTGATAAGGCTAGACCATATGTTTAAAGTAACAAGGACAAAGATTATGCACAGAGGGAAAAATAAATAAATATTGTTATTTTTTTAAAGTGCTTATGTGATCAACAGTGCCCATACATGTTAGATTAGCAATAGGAACTACTTATCTTGGACTCAATTCTATGCATGGCCATGAGGCAAAAAGTTTATTTCTCTGGAAAACTAGTAGATTGTTGTGATCCATCCGAACTTCTTGAGAATCAAGTGACATCCAAGTTTAATAAATGATTATATTATTTTTATTATAATGATGAGGCTATTCCTGTAAATCCACTCTACCCATAATGATTCTGCTTTTTATGAACAGTCATTTTTTAGCCATGTCAGTGGATAATTGACTTGTAACAGCTCTGCTAAACATCC